AACAAAGGAGGAGGCTACAATGCTTGATAAGAAATGTACTCATTATCTTGCCCATGTAATTGTAACCCCTCTGTACAGTATTTTCACAATAAAAAAAATAAATAAATAAATAAAATAAGATATATTTGTGAAGAAATACTTGTGAAGATTACAACTCTGAGGCATGGCCCCTCTAAAATACTAAGATTTAGTTGAAGGATGATAGAACATTCTCCACATACTTCATAGGGTACCACTAAGACTTTGTTAACAACAGTGGATTATGGTTGAAAGAGCTGCACACCACATATTGGAGCTTATATTTCCATGTCTATGCCCAACTGAAACCTACTTCAGAGAGAAGGGAACATTTAACCTGGCCCTACACTAATGTCTCCTGGAGCTTCATTTTCTACTGCCTACCTCATCACTTCTTAAATCACAAGCAATGAAATTTTCTAATCCCTTCCCTAAGGTATGATCTGATTCCATGGCCCACACAATCTCACAGTACCCTTCCAGCTGTAGATACCTTAAAGTCTACATCAATAAATCTTAAATACTAACCAGCGATATTACCAATGTTTTACATCAGCAACAGTCATGTCAAAATTGACCTCATCTTAAAAAAATCTTGTCTCGAAAAATTTAAAGATTTTTTCAATCACATCTCATGAACTGTCACTTCAGTTGATCAATAGTCAATATAATGACCTCTGATTATCTTCAAGGACTAAAATTATACATCCCTTCATATGAATGACTTTACTTCTTTCTACCCTGTGGAAAGATTAAGTTCAAATCATTGAGCAAGAAGCTCTAGATACCTAATCTCCTCTGACCTTGACATTCTTAATTTTCCCAAGACTCTATTGCCCCAAAGCCAGCAGAAATCATCTCACTATATCCATTATCCTTGCTTATACTGGTGATTATAAGAAATCCAAGCCATTCCTAGTCATATTCCTTTTAATGGCCTCCTGTCTTATACCAGCTCATGGGATCTTTAGGAATACAGTGTGCAAAACTAATCAAAATTGATCTTAAGCTCAATTTCCATCTACTTAAAAGACATAGTGACTTTCCGCTGAAGGTACTGCTTTACCTCCGTTCTCGTCCAGTGGCTATTTTCCCCTTCCATCTTTTGGGACCACCATAAAGGGTCTGTTAGGTCTTTGTCTACCAACAGGCAAATTTCCACTTCAGAGCTTTTACAAGGGTATTTGCCTTTCCTGGATTCCCAAATGGAATAAGTATTTATACTTACTTCCTCAAATGTTTGTTTGCCTGGATTCTAAATGGAATAAGTCCCTATGCATACTTCCTCAAATGTTTTCTCTCCAATGAAAACTATAATCACTCTATTTAAACCTCCAACTCACAGCATTCTTAGCTCCCTCATCTGGCTCTACTCTAGTTTTACTTTTTTCCATAGGACCAATCACTTTCTAACATACCATGCAATTTACTTACATATTTTGTGTTTTACTTATTGTTTATCTCTCCCTTGCTCCATTTCAAATTCTACAAGGGCAGAGATTTCTGTTTTTTGTTGACTAAATAAATACATTTTGATTGACAGAATGGATTCTCACTACAATATATAAGGAAAACACAATTATTCCTTTTCTCCAGCAAGATAAAATAGGAGCTTGGAGAATATAAATAAGCCATTAAAGGTTATGCTACTTGCAGTGGTATAACCCAGGCCCAGCCTACTCCTCTTCTAGAACTAACACTGTCTCAAATCCAGTGATGTTTTTCCAAGATAGATGAGAAGGGATACCAAGATAGGACAGGAAGTGAAAGAGAAACTAGAAATAAATCTCTGTGACAAGCTAAGCAATTTGATTACTTTCCATAAAAGAATTATGTATTGAATGATGGAGTAATCAAATTCATAGCTTATATGATGCAAATAGCTGCCATCCTGATCAGTGAAGACAACAAATTCCCAGGGGAGAGAAATACCACATTTAATGCAGTTTTAATTCAGCACTTAGATTTCCAAAACTAAAACTGACATTTTTCCTTCTAATTCATTAGTATGTCAGTCATTACCATAGTCCTCCAGGTAAGGGGGAAAAAACTTGACTCCACATGACTATGGAAGTATACTTTTACTTTATTCATAGGTATTAGGTAACAATTAACTAAAGAAGTGAGTTCCTTTCCATTTGCATGAGGTCACAGCTGTCAATCATAGTCAGGAGCAACAAGCCTGAAATCTCCTTAGATGCTAGTTTGATCAGGGAATAGGCCATATTACTTGACACATCCAAGTGCCATCTGACAAACCTTGAAAACAGTGGTTCAGAATGCAGATAGAAGTTCTCAGATAGGCAATGGCTAGATGATGTCATTTCAGTTGCAAGTATTTTTTGTGTCTGTTATCAAATGAAACAAATGCATAACCTACACAGTCTGGCTTAGGTCAGCTGTTTATTGGCCCTTAAGACAAAGCCTCATTATCTTGGCTAATTAGTCAAAGAGGATAAAGCATCAAATGAAATCATTACAGGGTACAGGAACTATAAATAATACATATAATAATAGATATGCATTTTCATTACATAATAGTTGCAATTATAAATACTTCTGTAGTTAACGAAACTACAAATATGTTTTCCATATAAATAATTTTAAATATTAATAAATAGATTTAGACTTAAATTTTTCAAAAGCTGCTGGCGGGATGACCCTTATTTGTACGGCTTGTAAGCCCAAAACAACACCGACTTCTTTTTCGCTTCCTTTGGGTAGATCTTGGTAACAGATCAGTCATCAGTCTGGTGAGTTCAGACATCGCTTTGCGTTGGATCTGCACATCATTTACCTAATAGGAAACAAAACAATAAAGTTAACTTTAGATAATGATGATTATCATTGTGAAGATTTAATGGTGTTTGTGGCTTTAAAATAAATAAATAAATAAAACGTAAAAAAATAATTTTAGGTGTGGAAGCCATCAAGATGAATTTGTCTCTTAGTAAAATTCCCATATAAATAGTCAATAAAACTGGAAATCGATTTTTTAATGTGATTCTCAGTAGTAATATATTTACTCAGTATATAATATTCACTTTTTTAGCACTTGAAGCTAAAAGGACAATTAAATTTCAAGTGTGCAATAATAGGGAATAAGGTGCATTAGATCATATGTCTAACTTTACTGCTGCAAAATTTTCAGAATTATATATTGGAAAAGAGCTTTGCAGTGGAATAGGGGAAAAATAGGTGTGGTTTACTTCTCCATGCAGTGACATTGAACTAATCACTTAACCTGTCTCAGCCTCTGCTTCTCATCTAAGTAATGTTGAGATTGGTGAGGAGGCCTAACAGCTGTATCGCTTATCGGTTAGTATCTGTAGCAATATCAATGGCTTCTCCAGGCAATGCTCCTCAGCTTTGGCGTGTAGCAGACTAATCTGAAGACCTAACAAAGAACTTAAAGATCCAAGTTCGTGAGGAAGAAAGCGCTTGCTGTCATGTGGTCACTAAGTTCCTCAGGTGATTCTGATACTCTCACCAACATGTGAGAGACTGATACAGTGAAAACTAGAATTCAATTGTTTTTTCCACATTAGGTCAATCCCATCATTTCCAGAATAGGATTCAAAATAAACTCCAATTATATTCTTATGATAATAATCATTTTACTGATAGAGAACATTTACAATTAATAATTACAACACCTTTTTTCTATATAATCCTTCTACACCAGCAAATGACACTAATTACATTTCTTCATTCTAAACAATTGGGGTCATTTACATTTATGTTTCTTCTCAGTGATGGAAACACTGTGGCCATGAATGACTAGGGAATTTCTAGGCTGCAGAACTCATCGGTAAAGGGTATAGCATATATAAAATATGTTTTCAATTGAGCAAAAGAAGACAATAATCATGAACCAGGAGGCTTAGAGCTTGTAGGACATAAAAATCAAGATTTTTAAAAAATTTTCTAGGTCTAGTTTGCATGGAGTAAAAAAGTTTCTACTCTGCCTTGTAATAACTTTTTTTTCATGTTCAAAACATCAACAAGAATCTAAGAGACTTATCCAGGACTGAACAATAAGACAGAGATGACTCTGGGTTAAGAACAAGTGTTTCCTTACTGTCTAGCCTATGACACAAGGAGAATTGTTCCCATCTCTCCTTTTAGACTTAGACCTGAATGAGAGACAGACATGGATATATTGAAAGCTGGCACTAATTCTCAGGGCATAAATCAGGCAAGGACACCTGTTCGTCTCAGTCGAGTCCATTTATATCAAAGTCAAAGGATTTGGAAGCCTTAGTGCTCTAGATAAAATTCTGGAAACAGGATTTGTCTTTATACTTTAAATTTTTATCCTTCAGATTCTAGAAGCCATAAATTAATGATTTAAGGAAGCCTAAGGATTCTTGTACGCAAGTATTAACCAAACTCTCCTTCCATAAGATAGAAATTCTACCTTTATTTTTCTCCTCAAAGTAAATTGAGTTGCATAAACTGAGAAAATGATTGTTAGTGGATACCTCTAGAGTCCTCTCAAAAGCTTTCTTTTCTCTCATTCTCATTTTCTCTGTGTAGCATTGTAGAAATGCTACCGGAGATCACAAAGGAAATGACAAAATGCCCATAGTTAACTCAACAACTTTCTTTCAAGATGAGGAAATTAAGCCCTAGAAAGGCATGTGATTCATCTGAGGTCACAGTTCCTTGTGGCCAATTTAGAAGGTGAACACAGATCTTCTCACCTCCTCCCACTGCTCTTTCCACTAAGACACTCAGCCTCCTGTCCAAAGCAAGACAATTTCCACCACATAAACAAGACTTCATGAGAGCACTGCTTCTCAATAAGCCTCCCTACTGAGTCACCTACTTCCTCCTCAATGGACTTGGCCATCTTGTGTGTGATGGTTTTTAAAGCCTGTGTTCTTCCAACCAATAAATCTAAATGATTGCCATGCAGACCTGACAAGTTCATTCAAGAGCACACATGGAATTATTTCAGGGAGTGTTTTAGCTCGGGGTTCCTTTTACAGCTTCAGCAACCCCTAAGCAAATGATTTCTACTTTCTGGGAACTATGCTCTGACAAATTCCTCTGCAATGAAACCAAAGAATTCATATCGCCTCACCGGAAGTTGAATCACGTTTTTGAAGTCATTCAGTTTGTTGGTGCTGCTGTTGAAGAACCTAATGAATAATTCTTCCTTAATGGTGTCCATGCTTTTTTGGATGATCTGGTTGTCCTTTAAGTTGTCAAAGATTTTGAAGTAGAAGGAGATAATTTGGCTCAGAATTACTTTCTTATCACTCTCCTTAGGAGAAAAGAGCACAAAGAGAATACGTGATTTTTTTTTCCATCAGTCAATAAGCCCCAAGAAAAATCAACAAATAGAAAGTCAGCCACATGTTCAGCTTACCTCTTTCCAGTTCTTCCAAATATCTTTGAAAAGAGGCTTTTTATCTGCTACATATGAACCGCTTGCATTCTGAGAAAGGAAAGAAAATTGTTTTATAATGTGTCCATTAAGTGTACATCAATGTCCTACAAATGTACGTCATTACATTGAACTCAGAGGTCTGACAGTAGTCACTGATTTCCTTCTTATCCCTTCTGTTTAGCGATAACCATGTGTATTGCAATAAGCTTTTTTTCTTTTCTTTTCTTTTTTTTTGTCGGTTGTAGGCCTGAACTCTGGGCCTGGGCGCTGTCCCTCAGCTCTTCAGCTCAGGGCTAGCGCTCTACCACTTGAGCCACAGCGCCACTTCTGGCTTTTTTCTTTTTGCTTATGTGGTGCTGAGGAATCAAACCCAGGGCCTCATGAATACAAGGACAAGCACTCTACCATTGAGCCACCTAAGCTTTTATGTTAGATTTACCAAAGATTATTACATTCTTTCAGTTTAATTATTCATTAACAAAATCCTTAAATTGCATTATCACAAATGAACTCAACAAGGCTCATGGCACTTCAAGTGTCCCAAATAACTATAGCAAGATAAAGAAAATACTTCAAACATAATTTTTAAAAAATTCAGCAAAGCCACCCCACTATAAGATCTATAAGATATTTCCCCCCTATGATACAGATTTCTATAACAGCTCCCTGTATTCTGGTACAGGATTGTATTATGTCAGCTTCAAATATAGCTCCAAATATATGTGTATTAAGAGAGATTTGATTTATACTGTGGGAATAAAATTGATTATGAGTGTATGAATATTATTATAATAGTATAATAAGAGTTTAAATTTTGGACAAATAATAACTTGTTTTAAATTAAAAAAATTTCATTACCCACAAATAAAAAGCAAAAAAGAAATTCATAAAATAAAAAAGTAAACCCTAAGCTAGAATCCTAACTTACAAAACCTCAGTGAGTGAATGCCTTCAAGAATAATTCACAGGTAGAATTATAAAATCACCTTTTGAGAGTGACTTTTTTTTAACCCAAACTTTAAGAACTAAAGTTCCTTTGACTTTTAATTGATAAATTATTTCCTACTACTATTTTCAGTGACACTTTTCATTCTTTACTGTCACTTTAATTGTAGTCTGAAAAGCAGAACCTAAAGCAAATCAATTTTTTTCATACATATACTCCTTGACTAATCACAACTGAATGGATTCTCGCCACAAAATTATCAATATTATTACATTTTATGACTATATTATGCCCATATTTTGAGAGAATGTACTCTAACTCTCTGTAGAAAATTGGGCAAATGGTTAAGTCAATGAGTACAGTGTTCAGTCAAGAAACATCCTACCTACAACAAACCATATAACACTACATCTTTTCAAAGTGACCATGTATTGGAGATAGTGGCCTATCAAGATACAAAGCAACATATACTTATTTCTAATCACAAGCCAAATATTATTTTAAAGTCATACTTACAAAATAGTCCTTTAGGCTGTCTATTTCTCTAAAAATTATGTCTTGGTCATAACAGCTTGAAGAATCCAAAACGATGCAGAGCAGCAGAACTAAGGCACAACTTGTGTATTTCATTTTTAGAGGAATCAGGCTGAAGGAGTTAAAATCAGAAGCTCCTATATTGTCAACCAGGTCAAAAGGCCTTAGCTGATTTTTCTTTTCTAATTGCTGATCTGCTGGTGATCAGAACAATGTACTGCATCTCATTTTGCTGCTGGTATTTATACCCAATTGAAGCTCATCAGGATTACGTATTTTCACAAGTTTTTCAAGATGAGATGGTGACAGATAGTCAGGGATGCTAGTTAGTCTGAATTAATAACTATGGTTTGTGGCATTTTGGTGTTGTAGTTAAAGTTTCCTTTCAATTCCTAAGGCCACTAGATGATGAGACAGACCCATTTTCCCACTTGTACCATTCTTGTGGGATTCTTTGAAAGCACTTTTACTTCACACCTTTCAGGGTCTGGAAATTTTTTTCCTTTTTGCATCTCCCCCCTTTGCTCTTGTAAAATATTGACTCCTCATCCAAAAAGCACACTGATCATTTGTTTGTGGTTGGGAAGAAGTAAAAAAGGAAATTCTGGGGCCACTAAAACTTTTACAAAGGGGAAGCCTTTTTCAATTTTTCTTGCAAATCACCACAAAGCAAGGAAAGAATATGATTAAAAACCCAATGTGGTGAGGAAGTCCTTCATCAGAGTTTAGTAGAATATCTATCACAAGTTTCAAATTGCTTTACATCAACACTGCCCAGTAGAAATATGTTGCAAACCATATAAGTAAATTTAAATTACATAACATTCCTATTGATAAAAGTAAAAGGAAACACATAAAATAATTTAAACTATTATACATATTCAGAATGCTTTCAATGTGTATCAATACACATTAATAGTGGGATATTTTACATTTGTGTGCCATACTAAATCCTTAAAATCCAGTATGTTTTCTGTACATTCAGCAATTTCACTTCAGACTAGCTATATTTCAAATGTTCAGTAGCCATTTGTGACTATTGCACCTAAAGCTCTAGTAAATCAATTGTTTCAAATAATCATTAATGCTAGAGAAAATTTTAACTCTTTCTTTTTTTCTTCTCAGCTGTAAGAACAACAGAATTCCTTCCCTTTGCAATTTATTTATAAATAATAAATATTCAGGAGAGCACAGAATTCCCTCTACTCTTTACTTCCAATCCATCTTGCATTTCTTCTTGCACTGTGTACATTGAAATATGGTGATTAGATGTACAAACTTCAATTCTGGCTCTATTGCTGTTCAGTTCTAAGATCTGGAGGAAGAATCTTAACTCTTCTGTGACTCAGTTTTCTTATTTCTAAACTAGGCTTCACAATAGATCTCCTAACAGTTGAATGTTAAGTCAGGCAATCATTCGAATAGTAGATAAAATGTTGTCTATTGTTATTTGGGCAAGTTGGATGATTCAAATTAAAAAAAAAACCTCTGAACTTTGTTCATGCAATTCCTTTGTCTCTGAGTTTCCTTTGTCCTCATTTGTATCTACCCATCCAGGTACTGCCTAAAATCATTTTCATGAGGTCTCCCAAATTTTTTTTCCACTTAAAATTACGTTTACATCCTCTTTAGCACTTGGCTTATACTTTATTTATAGAGTCCTACTCCCTTGGTCTCATATTGAGTTAGTTTGTTCATATATGGCTGTACCCATCTTTAACAAATTTCCCAAATCAGATATTGTTTCATTATGTCTATGGCATCCTTTTCGTCACTAAGCACTTCAACATGGAGATCTGCTTCTGGACATCACTGAATAAATATAGATCTGGAAGCTTACTTAAGGATCTGTTTTGAGATATTTGCCATCAAGTTCCAATCCCAATGCCATTAGGTCCATCCCATAGGAAACTAGCTTCTATTAAATAAGATTTGTTGTCAATGTTAGAAACATGATACTATGTGTGTTTAGCTGATACCTATGGACTGGGACAATTCTATGCATTATTTTATGTGTAACAAAAAAAGACTTTTGAGAAATTATTTTCTCAAATAAACAAAATCAAAGCATAGCTGTGAGATCAAAAGCTCCCATTCAGCAAGTGAAGAGTACAGAAATTACATTGCTGCATGTAAAGCACTAATGCTGCTCTCTCCAAGAAAAATGTGGTCCAGAGAAACAAAGACTTAGCACATCCTTGAGATATGCATTGGCCATCCTTATGTTCTAAGAAACCAATACCAAACTCTGAGTCACTAAAACAAATATCCCAATTTTTCTAGAAAGGATTAAAAATTATCTCTACTTACTTTTTTTTTGGGGGGGGGTCCGGTCATGGGACCTGAACTCTGGGCCTGGGCGCTGTCCCTCAGCTCTTCAGCTCAAGGCTAGCGCTCTACCACTTGAGCCCACAGCACCACTTCTGGCTTTTTTCTTTTTGCTTATGTGGTGCTGAGGAATCGAACCCAGGGCCTCAGGCATGCAAGGCAAGTGCTCTACCACTGAGCCAACTTCCCAGACCCTCTACTTACTTTTTTATTTATCCACTGGAATATGTTGCTGGAAAGAGAAACTTCGTGTAGTAGGATCCATAATAGGGAATGATATGTAGCCTCAACATTCATTAAGAATGCATATTCAAAATTTGGCATATATTAAGACTGTATTTATAATATGGCCAATGGTTAGAGTTGGTTACCATATGGCTAAAATCCAAGCTTTAATAACTCTTGATGGAATGATCAAACACAGAATTGCTGAATGATGAAGATTGTTTATGATCTATTCTTTTACTTTCTGAATTTGTAAATTGACACTAAAAAGGCAGTGTGCTTCCATTCATTTAACTGCTTAAATGTCCTGAAACAAAAGCTAAAATATTTTCCTTAATCAACGTGTCCTCTATCTGACCAATACCCTTTAAAATTATTGTGTGTTCCTCTACCTTATGTGTTACATAGATGAGTTAAATAATTAAGTCGGGCTTTAATTTCTGGGAATTTTTGTTCTACTTAAACACCTTAAAAAATGGTAAGACTCATAGAGAAACCCCTAGACACAACCTAATAAAAACCTAATAAATAATAATAATAATAAATAAAACCTAATAAAAACCTAAGAAGAAAAACAAAGAATGACAGAAAACAAAAACAAGTTTTCTTCAATGTGATGGGTTCTATGGGCCAGATAAGAAAAGACTAACAAAGAGAGTGAATGGTGAAGAACGTGGGCAGAGCAGCTCACTTGAATATCTGAAGAGTGAATACTGAAAGCTGCTGAGATTATGTTAAGAAGGGGAGTAAAATAAGAAAAGTGTCTGAACAGGTGAGATTGATCTGAATTCATTATACACATGTATGGAAATGCCTCAATGAAAACCTTGCACAATCAATGTATGTAATAAAAAAAAGTTAGAAAAAATACATATGGTAAATCTAAAAGTAAAGGCTTTTAAATTTTTGACTGGACATCCCAGAAATCCAAACTTCAAGGGGCTTATATTTTATTTCATTTTATATTCTTTCCTGCAAATTATATGGGCTAGGCTTGCATCCCAGACTGAAAATGAGTAGTCTACTATTGTTTTCTTTTCCTTTAGATGTACGAATTCTTTCGTTCAGAATGTGGTCTCACTACAATGGTATATCCTTTCATGATCTTTTCCTGTCTTGTCACCTTTGCAAAAAAAGAAATTTCATTCTTGGTGTTGCCTGTAAAGCACGTATGTTATACATGCAAACTAGAGGTTTCGCACCTTGTTCATCTGGCCAATACTGAACCTACACAATAATTCACCACCAAGATATCCTTTCAAAAAGCCAAGGCATAACTGTATTACTAAACCAGGGGGATTTAAAACTTTCTTTTTTTCTTTGCAGTTCAGTTTTCTTTCTGAAAACTGGCTAAGGTCATGCATTCTGCATCAGCAAGATGTCATGGGTATCTCATGCAATCCCTGGTCTAAATGGAGGAGGTAGTCAGAAGACAAATCTTTTTATTTTTTAGTATAATTTTTTATTATTAATAAGTTTTTTATTGTGAAAATACTGTACAGAGGGGTTACAATTACATGGGCAAGGTAATGAGTACATTTCTTATCAAGCATTGCTGCCTCCTCCTTTGTTTCCCTTTCCCATCCCTGCCCTCCCAGAGTTGTAAAGTTCGTTTTTCGATTTGTGTGAGACACGCAGAAACGGTCAGACAAGTTGATGTTAGGCGAAACGAACCCCAAGATAAGGACTCAAATGGTTTTTCTTTCTTGCTATTGTTTCTAACATATTTATAAGATGATTTCTTTGTTGCTTGTATGTCCCTCCCCCACAGAAGACAAATCTTACACCTTGGTATCTCTCTTCCTCTCCATCTGCAGTCAGATCCCTAACACTCACAACCAAACCGTCTTATCCAGACAGCGGTGTAGTTTCCTTCCGCTCACTATGAGTCAATGTTGGATTCATGCCCCCACGCGATATCGACTCCTCAAGCTCCTGACATCATGCGGGCTGAGTCTACGGAAGAGACGTAATAGAATGGAAGCCCCACAATTTGACTCATAAAATCCCATAGGTGAGAGTTTTCTTTTCTGAATAGATGACTGCTTTCCATTTTTCTTATGGGCCAAACGAGCAACTTTGCCGAGTATTTCAAAGAATATTGTAGACCTGCAGAACAATCCTCAGTTTACAATAGTCTCCGCTTTATGTCAGATAGGAACATTCATTGGTGATCTAGAGATTTGTGGTGGTGTTTTTCATTGCTGTTTTTGTTTTTCATCAGTCATGGGGCTTGAACTTTAGGGTTTGGGCACTGTACCTGAGCTTTTTCACTCAAGACTAGTGGTCTACCACTTGGAGCCAGAGCTCCACTTATGGTTTTAGGGTGGTTAATTAGGGATAACTTTGCCTTTCTTTCCCCAGTTGGCTTTGAACCAGATCCTCAGATCTCAAGCTCCTGAGTAGCAAGGATTACAGGCATGAGCCACCACAACATAGCTTGCTGGTTTATTGTTTAGTTTTATTTTTTGTTTTGTTTTGTTTTTTAATAGATTGTATTTCTATTTACTTACTCAGTTATGTGGTAAAGGGCATAACTTTTGTTTCTAAAGGAATTTTAAAGTACCTACTGAGTGCTTGACATAGAGTTGCCAAAGAAAGATGGAAGATTCTATTGTGAAAATACTTGTTT